GGGCGGCGGAAGGGACGTGGGAGGGTTTGGGGGAAATGGCGCCAAATGGCCGTCGGGGGGTTTTTGGTTTCTCCCACCGACAGGCGGGCCAGGGGAGGACAAGCGCGCGCGTCCCGCCCGTCCGCGCGCTGTCCGTTTCACCCCAAAACCGGCGCAAGTTTGGGCCGGGGATGGGTCGAAAGCGAACACAAAGCGGACAAAAGTCCGTTTGCTCCCGCGCGCTGGGCCGCCTTTTTTGTCCCTTTTACCCCAAACGGACGGGGCCGGACAGGATAGGGTCGCGCGGTGGAGTTGGCCTGAGGCTGAGGCGCACCAGACATCACCGACGGCTGGGGCAGCCCACGGGCGGGGCAGGTAAGGCCAACTCCACTGCGTGACCCCAAACGGACGTCCGTTTTGTCCTGTTTTTGTCCCTTTGGGTAGGGATTTAGGGTCGTGTCCGGGCCTGTCCTGGGATGCGGTGGCCGTGCGCCCAGCGCGCGGCCGCATCCTTTTGCCCCATCCTGTCCGTCAGGGCCAAGCATTGCCCAAATTTGCATTAAAACTAGTTTTGAACCCAAATATTTGTCTGAAAATTAAAATAGTTTTACAACCCAATTGAAATAGTTTTACAAATACATCTATTGGTTGCCAACGTGATCCCACACGTGCTCAACCAAGTCATTTTGAAGATTCACATGAGTGTGCCAATCACGCATCTCACGGTGGAATTGGGCAAACTGTTCAAATATGGCCGGGTCTTGGTGCAGGGGCTCAATATTTTCACCTTGATAATCAAATCCTTGGTCGAAGATACTCTCATCACGCTCGTCCTCGACGATCATGTTGTGCATGATCACACAAGCAGTCATCACCTCCCAAAGCTTCCTTTCATCCCATGACAGTGCAGGGTTTTGAACGATACCCCACCGGGATTGAAGCACACCAAAAGCATGTTCCACATCCTTTCTAACACTCTCTTGCATTTGGGCAAATCTCTTTCTCTTCTCACCTTGGGGTTTCAAGATTGTCTTCACAAAAGTTGACCACTGAGGATATATAC